GTCTGCATTTTGATATTCTGAAAAATGTTTCATTCGAATTGTCATGGTCTACCTGAATTCATTTTTTCTAAACTTTAAAAATTTAAATAACTAATGCAGATGAATAGAACTTGCCTCTTCCTCGTTTCAGCGTGTTTTTAAGTGCTTCGTTAAACGGAAATGTACGCTTAGTTTCACACTTAGCTTTTCGATATTACGATTAGTTTCACGCGTTGCATAGCATAGCAAAACCAATAAAACAAACAGAAGATTACCATCTAAACCATGCTTACCAGTATCCTTCAAAAATAATAATTTCCGCAGGAGTGAAATCCCACCAAATATTCCAACGTAACGAACGCCACATCTTAATCAAACACGCGATAAAGCATAAACACGCGCTGTGGCGTAACAAATGGTGGGAATTTTTCTTTCTCAATTTCCAGAGCAAACACGCACGCTTAACGGAATAGTAGCACACTTTCGCTATCGCAAATAAACCAACCAGAAAGGAAATTAAATGATTTCCGTTAATGAGCATATTGGTTCATATCAATAGTAAAAAAAAAAAAGAGAAAAAAAACTTTTTGTTTATTATTCCAAATACAGGAATGGGTATCACGATTTTCCGGAAAATAGGATCTATTTAGCTAGTCCACGTTAGAGAAAATTAATTGGGCTTTCAGGGAACTTAATGATCTCGAAATGGAGTACGTTTAAGGGTAGGAGAAAAGGAGCTCCTCTTAATAAAATAACCGCCACGAGTGAAAGAGGAGCATAGCTCCAACGGAAGGAATTAATCCCTTAATTAATTAAAGATCCCAAGAGAGCTTCTCAAGATATGTGAACTCGGTTCGTAAAGAAGTAATTCAAATGAAACGTATGCTTATTGAGAGTTAATGAGTTTCAATGTAGGCTATTAATTATTCATCATCTTTAACGCTTAACCAAAAGTAGAAACGTGCATTTGAGAGTAATGCATTGTATGTATTAAAACTAAAATTAATTTGTTTGTCTTCCTTTTTAATGTTAGCAATAATTTAAATATATTGCTTTTTAATTTAATTTGAAATTTAATAATCGTTTAAGAGAGAGGGGAGTATACATTATTTTTAATAAGCATATTTTGGATTTTTTTTTCTCTTCTCAACAAAAGAAGCAAATAGCAGCAAAAAAAATTTTTTTGCATGTAATAAGTAATAATTCTATGTAAAATGCATAATTTTTTTTCTTCCACTTACTACATACATTTACTTAACTTTTCCAATGGGTTTGCCTAAATTAAAAAATAGATTTTTCGACTTAATTTATGCTGATTAGAATTATTACGACCTAATTCATTGCGAGTAGAATTTTTCGGCTTAATTTATGTAAAGTAGACTTATAACACTTGTCATGTATTTTGTATGTTTTGTGTGAACAAAGCTATTGAAATACACTAGCATCCAAAAGTTAAGTATAATCCGCAAATATGAAAAACTATGCTATAGCCATAATTTAACTAAGCCACATTTTCGAATTGTTCAAGTGAGCGTTTTAGCAAAAACTAACATGGTTTCCACAAACACAACAAGAAATGTCTAAGTATCCTGAAAATTCCGAAAACTAACAAAAAATATTTATCTGGAAACAATACTAAGAAACTGATTTTGAAAGTACCGTCACCTTTGGAATAAGTGTTGCTTCATTTCTATAATGCCACGAGATTTTCTCAAGCATATGGCAAATCAATAAAACATTAGTTATCTCATTTTTTTAAAAAAATAAAATAAAAAACATATCAGAAATTTGTGCAGATTACATTTTTCTTTTTTAATGATAGCAACAAACAAAACTTAGCAGCATTTCATCTTGTTATTGTGCGGCGTTTCATGTGTTGTCATAATCCTTTGAAGGTAGATCGAAATCTACCTGAGAATTTAGTTTGACCCAGTAGACTAGGTAGAACAAGCTTACGAGAGCTTATCAATGAATTTCCCAAGGGAATTGATTGTTGTAAGGCTTCAAATATTCGACGTGGGAAAACTGTTTATGAATGAGGTTCTAAACGTAAATGTTTGCTCATCCGAGAACAAAATAAAAACCGAAAAATATACGTGAATATTGCTTTAGCAAAATCTTCTATATTAATCAACTATAGCAATGATGTTGTATTAATGGTGATAATAGTATTATATAGAAATATATAGATAAAGGATAAATTCTATATATATTTTACTTATATAGTACCGAAAATTGTAGTCTAATTGTGTCAGTAAAAAATTGATAGATTAATTTAATATATTTATTATGGTAATAGCATTACATTGAAATATAATAATTGATGAATTCCATATATTTTTTTATATTTCTAATAATTTAAGGATTAATTAATAAGAAATAAAAAAAAGTATATATTTTTTTAAAAAAAAGTATATATTTTTTTAAAAAAAAGTATATATTTTTTTAAAAATTTTTTAAAAAGTATATATTTTTTTTAAAAAAAAAGGTTATAGTTTACTTTTCTTTTAATTTCATATTATTTATCTATTATTATTTTTTATTACTTTTAACAAAACTGTAGTGTTATGGACATGGGTGCAGTGTTTTCACTACAGCGCGAGAACGCGAGAATCCCGCATATTTTTTTATATTCTCGCATTAAAAAAATGATTACCGCGAGAAATTCGCGCATTCTATAAACCAATTTCAAAATTCGCGAATTTCTCGCATTTTGTAAAAAATTTCTCATTTGCGCCATTTAGAATAAAATCCGTTTCACTTTTCTTCCTAGATCTTTTATTATTTTCACCATCTGCCCCGTTATCTAGCTTCCCTATTTACCAGTATTGTTCAGAACCTATAAGAACAACAGAACACCATCCCACGGAACCTCTTTCAGAACGCATTTCTCTGCAATCACGTGTTTACCATTTCCTAATGTAAGATGTTCACATTTTTTGCTCGTTAATGTAAGATGGACAAATACCTTGTAAAGCCAATATCTTCTACTTCGAAACGGATAAATGAAAATGAAACAAATGTGGATAGAAACGATTTTTTTTTTTTTAATTTTTGAAATCTCACTTAACTTTTTGAAATCTCACCCTGTTTTTGAGAAAGGGTGAGAAATTCTCACCCATTTTTTTTCTGAGATGAAAACACTGGTTTACACAATTACTATACCTTTTAATTTTTGTAAATTCTTATAAATTAGTTATGCACTTTCTTAACACTTCTTCTGTATTTCCTTATGAGTTTTCAGGGATCTGTCTTGGCCACATTTACTACCGTACCTGCCCGAATTCAACTTTAGGAAACACAAAATACTTTTTCTTAGAATTTTATTTTTTATCCCGTAAGAAATGACGAATCCATATTTTTATCATATTTATGTGTTCATTTTTTATATAATTTTTAATTTTCGCAAATTATGTTCAAATTTTCACAAAATAGGTACCTCTCAGAAAAACCTAGACAGTCCCCTGGTTTTGTGTTGTTTAACCATAATATTCTGAAACTGTTTCTACAAAAAAAATGCTTACAATTTTATAAAAATTTTTATTGTTTTTCTCTTTACTTGTGTGTCTTGTTTATTCCTTTTGGCCTGACGAATGAAATTAATTTTTAATCAACAGATCGATAAATCAAAATCAATCTTATTTGGCAGATCTGAAGGAGAAATAATAAACGGAACTGAATGACAGCACTTATGTGAATGTAGATCTAAATAAGAAATAGTACTATAATTTGAATGAAATCTGATATATTTTTTGTCTTAACTTGTGCATTCCACATATTTTTTGTTTTTTTTTTAATATTATCTAATTAATCCAGTTTGCCTTATTTATATTCAATGTGGAATAAACCATTTCTAATTTCAAATTATTCATCGTTAATACACTTGGGTGAGGAATAAATTTGTTAATCAAAATTTAAAAAACAAGATTTAGTGATTTTATTTTTTTAACTTTTGTGATATTTATGCCTTTTATTGAGACTTGGTCTTCTATTGACATTGATTGTTAGTTCATAAAACAAATATAGTACAAAAAAGTTAGGGAATTATGCTTAAGTGATTACGGTACAAATAGTCTCTGTAGAGGTACTAATATTATAAAGTAGTTCTGCATGTAAAACTTTTATTATCAAAATTTCAATTTGAAAATTATAAATTGTAAACAGTGATTTTAATATATCACAATACAAAAAAAAAAATTCAAAAATAACTTATTATGATATAAAACTTGGAATGTTATTTAATGCAATTAAAAAAAAAACATGCTTTACTTTAATATTAAATATAAACATGTTTGTTATTTAGATGAAAAAGTAAATCAGGTGTTTAAATAAATTATTTAAAATATATCTGAACTGAATAAATATATTAGCACCGAAATTTTTAATTCAAAAAATTACATTTAATACCTTACTAAAAAACTTATTTTGTTTTTAATTTGGTTCACTTAGAGTCATAATTAAAACTGATTATTATAATTAAGGATTCAATTATTTTTTGTCATAATTTGAATGTTTATTTATTTAAGTAATTTCTAAAATTATTGCCATATTTCAGTTTTTTTATAGAGCCATCATTTCAGTAAAAGACAAGTATCACAATATTCAGTTTTATTTGTCTTTTAGTTAATATTATTGTCTTTAAGTTAATATTGCTGGATTAAAGATACTATGTTTTTTTTTAAAACTAATTTTGCTCTTACATAGTATGGATAGGGATATTAATGAGACCTTCATTATAAAACAGCTATTACATTAAAATTATTTATCATTAACATAATTTTCATTATTTCTGAAATTGTTGACATATTTCAATTTTTTTGATAAAACTAAGCATTTTAGCAAAAAACAAGCATCACAATATTCAATTTCATTTGTCTTTAGGATAATATTGGATGAATAAAGATACTATGTTTTTTAATTAATTTTGCACATATGTTGTATGGATAGGAATATTAATGAGGCAGCTATTATAAAACATTCTAACATGTTTTATAATAGTGCTATTACATTCGAAAGAAAAACAATTGTGCTAGTGTTCCTTAGTTTTCTAAAATGTTTGGAATGATTATAGGAGTCACTCCCACCAGCCAAAACTATTACAGTGCTGGATTCGAACCTTCTACCCTGTGATAATGCTGCAGAAGTCACAAGTGATTTTATTGGTGCAGACAAATCCCCTTCCAGTGATCATGAATTCAGCTCCTCATCTGAATTGCACATATTAAGTTTGAATGAAAGTGATTGCACTAAAAGCATTACAACTCCATCTGAAGAATTTGAAATGATTTCTCATTACGTCAATTTAGAAACAAAAAGTGAGACAAAGGAAAGTGAGGAACTTGAAGTAGTGAGGACAAAAGTTGTGAGAAGAGTGAAAAAAACAAAACTTGATTCTCCTATGTGTCCTGATTTGTCAACCTCTGAATCTAAAATCCAATCTTCTGGTGATTCAAGTTCCTCTCTTGAAAACCGTTTAAGTAAAGCTACCATGGACTCGGGTTTATGCTTAGAGACGCCCTGCTCATCTGAAAACGATTTTTCAGATGACACAAAGAGCTTGGATAATCATCAAATGTCTTTCCACATTGAGGAGTTGCAGCAGGACATAAATGTAACTTTTTCAACACCCAAGAAGTCAAGCGTACCAGATTTGCCTTGTGCAATTTCTTCAGATTGCAAAAACTCAGAAGAAAGAGGTGTACCAGAAGGTCAGGAAGATCCAGTTGATGCAGGATGCAACTTTGATAATTCGCCAAATCGATTGCCGTTACAGCTTGGTGACGATGGTAATGATAGCAATGAAGAACTTGAAGAAGAGGAGGAGGAAGAAATATCAATTTATGATATGCATAAAACATCACCCATTAAACATTGTGATTCATTATCCTTTGAATTGGAAAATGCTGACAAGATGTCACTTCATAAGGCTGGAATGCATCCAGATGCCCACTTTGAAACTTCTAATGGTGTCGATATTGTTCAAGAAGAGATGGCAAAAATAGCATTAGAAGCTCCGGAACCTTTGAATTTGAAGTATGTATGGTTTATGTTTACAGTTGCTTATATGTAATTTATTTTCTTAAATTTTATAAATATTAATTAATTATCATAAAATTTTTAATTAAGCACTCCCCAAATAAGAAACTGGATTTGCAGACTTGTAGAAAAGCAATAATTATTTGAAATCAAGTTGAAATGTGTGTACATTCAAATTTTAACAAAAAGTTTTTAAATTCGTGTGTTAAAAAAGACATTTTATTTCAAAAGCTGATTTGAATTAAAGCTTAAAATAGAGAAGTAGATCTTTTATCCTACTTTCTCATTGATGATGTGTTATAAAATTTGAATTACATATTCAAAAATTTATCTGGCATAATATTTTGCTCTGATTTATATGTTATCACCTGTATTCTGATTATTATTCCTTTTCTGTTTATCATACATCTAAAAACATTAAACTTCAATTTAGTTTTCCATAATCGAGTATTTCAAAATATGCTTTCTATGCATATTTTGAATACCTCTATAAAGTTAAATTATAATGCATGAGTATTAATGGTTGGAGTATTTTTATTTATTTAAGGAAAGAATTGTGATCCTATTTAAATTGTTTTGTCGCTTATGTGATTTGTATAGACTATGTTGCAAGTTCATGTCTGGAATGTTCAAATAGATTTTTTTTTTAAATACTAAATTTTTTATTTAGAAAAGTTAAATATATGTTTTTTTAATTTTATTAATTATATTTTTTTCTCAAGTTGACATTTACGAGTAATATTTCAACTCAATTAAGTTTTACATTTATTAATTGTTAATTTTTGTTCTTTGAAATGGCTAATGGCATCTTGGCTTATATGTCTTTTTAAAAAACGGAGTGATAATTATTAACTTAAATTTATTTTTAAGCCTACTCCCTACCCCTAAATAAAGAAAGTAATTTTCTTTTCACGTCTTTTTGAAAGAAAAAGCAACATGCTTTTCTATAATAGGTCTAAATTATTAATCTAATTCAATATTTATCAATTTTATTTGTTTTTATGCTATTTATTTTAAATTTCATTTTATTACTTTATGTTTAAAATATAATCAATAAGAATATAATATTCCTTTTTTTTTCCTCCCTCTGTTTTTCTTTTTTTGGATGCAGGGATTCCAAATCTGTACAGTGAGTATTAAATAGTTGTGGATAAAAAATTCTGTTTACAAATAGCTAGAATTAGATTAGATATAATAATAAAAATCTGCTAACCTTTTTTTTTTCCTTTTCTTTTTCCATATGACACAGTTATTGCAAGTTTATAGTAGATGTAATACAGTAATTTGCATGACAATTCAAACGCTTTTTGTGTCATTTCTTATTAAAACTTCCTAAAATTGTAACTAAAATTTTTTCCCCATTCTTTTCAGCGTAACAAACAATATTCTTCTCTACTTCTTAGTTGAAGTATTTGAAAATGAAGAAGAAGAATTTTATAAGGTATTTGTATTTTTAAAATTCAGTTATAACAGTAAATTTTATTATTATTTTTGTAACTATGTTGTTGTTGTTTTTTTAAATCTTTGTATGTTTTATTATAGCTTTATCCTGGATACTCAAATTTTACTGAAGGTTTCTCACAGAGAATTTACTTCCTACTATCAAATAAGAGTGCTTACTTCATCCAGCCTGGTAATGATGTACAAAAATTCTTTAAGTGTAGTAGTCTTAGGTATTGCGATATTAACTACATTAATGTAAGTATTCTTTTTAAAAAAATATTTTTAATTCAATCAAAATTCTGTGATTCCATTCTTTTATAAATATTTCATTATTATTAGGTTGATTTGAATTATCAAGGCTTTAAGTTAATATCAAGAGATAAGGAAGCTTTTCCGTTGCACACAGCTGATGCTGAGTTAACCAGGTAGATATTATGTAATTTTTTTTGTGTAAGTTTAATAATATTTTAAGATTGATGCAAATTTATTTATATTGTCAATTTTTAAACATATTAGTCACATTTTTTAGTTTAAAAACTTAACTTAACTTAAACATTCCTTAAATTTAATTGTTTATATATATAAGCTGACGATAAAGGGACTGTAACACATGATCCGTCAACCACTAAGGATATTTAAGGTTACCACTGTGGTCAATGCGAGCCAGGTGCAGAATTTGTATAGACCAGCCATTGCTGGTATTCGAACCCTCTATCCCCTGAGTCACCACAGCTCTTAAATTTCTTGTTTTGCTAATGTTAATTATTATTATTATTTTACTATTTTTATATTTGAAATTTTGGGCAGAACCAATGCTTTCATTTCGCGTTGTAAAAATTCATCTGCTGCTAAAAATACTATCATTTAATAAGGTGGTATCAATTTAATAGCACAAAGTAGTCAAAGCATTGCTGAACAAAAAGTTATGATATCTTTCAAATTGAAGTTCTATTAAATATAGGTATAGTATATTAGACACCATAGTATATTAGACACCATTTAAAGGAAAACTGCAGCTATAGTATATATCCGAAAGTATTAAAAATACCAAATGAAGTATACGAAAAAAATTAATTTATTAATATGGAGGTACCTAAAATTCATCAGGATTAACTATTTCAGTAAAGAATGAAAAATGTATCAGTGTTATACTATTTACGCCCGGTGGCTGAGTGGTAGTGCCTCACGCTCCCGTGCCACAGGTCCTTTGTTCGATCCTCAGGCAGGGCAAGGTTGACTCAGTCTTTCATCCCTTCAGTGGGCAATAAATGAGTATCAAGCATGCTTGGGAGCTAAACACTGGGGGTTCCGCATTGGGATGACCACCTGCCCGGAATATGTGCTCCTGCACCCCAGAGCCCAAGGTCAAGAAAACTGAGATGGGCACAGTAGGTCTTGGCCCTCTATGGGCTGTTGTGCCACTGTGTTTAGTTTTTTTAGTCAAGTTATGCTATTTAACATTTAATATACTAAGTAACAAGATGATGCATATTGCCAAGTGAGTGTCACTTCCCCCCCAAAATGCTGTCATGATATAAGAACGTGCTATCAAATTTGGTGCAAGTGTAAATGATAATGAAAAACAAACTTCTATAATTTCATTCTTCAGAAGCATACATTTGTATTTTTACATTATTCAGGGTTCCCATGGGTCAGGGAGAACAGGGAAAACCTGGAGTTGTCAGGGAATTTTATTTTAATTTCAAAAATCAAGGAATAGTCAGGTAAAGTTAAAATTTTTTTACAAAAACCTGGAAAATTCCTATATCATACCTGGAAAATAACCAGTCTTAAAATTGCCAGTAATAGTAATCAGTTATTGAGATTTTGTATAAATAATTCTTACATCTATTACAATTATTTGTTATAAAATTTCACATAACAAATAAAAGAATTAGAGTTTTCTGATGAAAATATGGTCTCAATTTTCATTGAAATTTACCTGGTATACCTGGAAAAGTCAGGGAATTATTTTTGCAAATTGACCCTGCAAATTAACCCTGTTATTTTTTTAGTATGAGTAATTTCAATATATTATTAAAGTAGGCCTTTGTTTTCTTTTATATTAAATTAAATATTAATGTTTTTGTTGTTTACTTGTTATACATATTATATATCTATATCTATAATTTTTTATTATCGTTTAATCAAAACTTGTTTTTTCTATGGAATATTCCTTTATGATGAAGCAACTTCCTAAATTCCTGGTTAAATAAGAGTCTATTGTAAAGTGATGATGAAAATTTTTTTTTAAATATCTAAATGTCATATTACTTTTTCTAGGGATATACTTTCCAACTTAGAATTAGGAATCCGAAAGTTTATTCCTAAGTTACCTCTTCCATCAGTTTACACCAATGCAGAAATCCAGACTTACCTTTTGTCCAAGTTTTTAGCCTCTCAACTAGACTGTGATGTAAGAAATGATTTGCATTAATTGTTTGTTAATTCATTTTTCAAATATCACTATTAAATTGTTCAAAACCAAAACAATTCTGTTTTTACTCACTCTTTGTTATTTGATTTTTTGACATTTATTTCAAATACACCATTAAAGTTGCCACAATGCTGTTTGAAACACCACAATGAAGTTGTCAGAATTGAAATAAATATGTTTCCATTCAATATTTGCTATTTTAATGTTATATCATTTATTTCGAGCACTGCAATTAAATTGGTTTAAGAGAAATTGGTATTATTAGTTAGTCTAAGCTTTGAATCCTACTTTTCTATTGTGTATTTGATTGTATTACAAACTATTGACAGATGGCCGTTGGCTTTCAGTTGTTTGTGTACCAGATTGAACACAAGGTTTTAAAAGATTGCTTACAGTCAACTTTTTTTTTAGTTGCAAAATGCATTTTGGAATTTCAACCAATAATTCAATTTCATAATAAATAAAATTAATGAAGTTTTAAACAACATCCTTATTTTTTATAAGTTGAGATATTTTGTAAATAAAATGACTGAAAATGTGCATTATACATGTCATTATTTTAGCAAATACGCAGTCTTTTTTCAAATTTATTTATGAAAAAATTGCGTTTAATTCGAAAATTAGTTTTTAAAAATGATCTTGCATTTTATATTGATCTTTTTTCAATGTTTGTCTATTATGGATGGATGGATGTTATAGGCTTTTCTATTTTTAAATTTACCAATTATGACATAAGTTGTTCTGAATGTTATTAATGAAAAGAAATATGAAATATAAACCCCGCAGAAAATAAATAAAAGAAAATAAAACAAATATTTAAAATATATACCCTTATTTAAAATATTATTTTTAAAAAAAACGTTTTATAGTAAGTTTTTTTAAAAAATTACAATAAAACTATAGAGATTTAAACCTTTGCAATAAAGATAAACTTAAAAGTAGGTATCAATTTCTTCATTTTAATTGATTTTTGAATAATGTCTTGATATGAAAAGTACTAAATTAAAATTATAGCTGGAAAAAAATAGTGACCATTAGTTCTTTTGTGAAATGAAATAAATTTTAATTTTATTTACTGAAACAAATTTATTGCTCTAAACATCCGTACTAATTTGCATTCACTACAGAAATTTCATTTACAGAATTTTTGTGTTTTTTATTCTTGGATTAAATGTAGTTTTTTAAAACAATTAATATAGTACACAATTTTGATTAATAATTATGAATTCCAATTTAATATTGCTGTGTTCAAATTTCTTCTAAATGTGAAAATCTTGTCTTTAAACTTAATGCAGAACCAATGCTTTAATTATGCAGTTATTTTTTAAGTAGAAGTTTGGAATTTAATTGTCTTAATTAGTTTATTGTCCCTTTTATTATTGAGTTGGAAATAAAAATAAATATTTTTTCTTTCTAATGATAACTTTTGTTTATAATTGTATATTAATAATTTGTAATTTTATTTATATCTTGTTTAATTTTATCATAGCTTTCAAAGATAGTCATACATCATTATGTGCTTGCAAGATGGGAAGATTATACTTCATCAAGTGTAACTCCTTCAGGTCCTATTTATCAAGACTACCTAATGTATAGGCATAAATTTGTGAAAGAAAATAAAGCAACTTCCTGGAAGCCAGCATTCTTTCTTTTGAAGTAAGTAAATTGATGTTAAAAATTTAACAAATTATTTAAAAAAATACTTCATGCATTTTATACTTTAATTTATGTGAAATTATTTTGTTATGATTTTTTTTTTAAATGAGAGTTATTTTTACTTTTATTAAAGGAAACTTGACAAATTCATTATGAGTCTTCTAATTTTTATATTATGAATATTATTTTACTAACATCTTACGATATATATGCGTTTTTTTTTTTTTTCAAACTATTTTAAACTTTTTCATGATTTTAGAAATTATTCAAGATTATTAGTAATAGAGGAAATGAGATCCGTTGAGTATTTAAATCATGTAAATAATTAAAGTAAACTGCTATTAATCTTTGATTTAGACCTAATTACACAATAATGTTAATTCTGTATATACTTTTGATTGTTCAAGCTTTTTACTAACATCTTTTATTATTTAGTGGCAGTTATTTATAATCTTTTTCTTAGTTTTAATGCATCTATTAATTTTGTAGGGGTGGTGTTTTGTATTGTATGGAAACAGAGAAAAGTAAACCTTTGTTCTTTATTCAAATGTGGTAAGTAGATTTTTATGTAACAACAATATTCTAATAAATATCTTCTAATGGTATAAATGTTCTTTCTTTTAAACTCTGCAAATTTTGTTATGACTGCAAACAGATTTATTTTTTTTAATTATTTATGTTATAAAATATTTTTTAAAGTGTTAATCTTCATAAAATTTATTTTATTTATTTATAAATTTTATTCATATATTTTTATTTATACATTACATTATTTTTGTTTAGATATTTATTTTTGCTTTTGTTAAGATATTTGACTGGGTGATCATAAATAAGCTTTATTGATTTCATTGTTGTATTCATTAGTGTAGGAGTTTAAGGTGTGTTCTACAGGTAAACTAGTAGGCCGCTAATATTATTGCAGATGACAATTAGTAGTGTGAATTTCATGGATGATGAACTTGTTAACCATTAAGTTAATTTTTACTTGATCACATTTAATTATTTATTTTTTATTAAATCTTTCAATCTTCTTAAACTGTTAACTAAACTATTGTTTAATGAAATTTAGTTGTTTATTTTTTATTAATTCCTTTAGTGTTCTTAAACTACTAACTAAACTATTGCAAATTAACTAACCTAAAGCAATTGCTTAATCACATTTAATTTTTTATTAATTCCTTTAGTGTTCTTAAACTGTTAATGAAACTATTGCGAATCAACTAACTTAAAACTATTGCTTAATCACATTTAATTGTTTAATTTTTATTAATTCTTTTAATGTTCTTAAACTGTTAACTAAACTATTACACATTGACTTACTTAAAACTATTGCGTAATCACATTTAATTGTTTAGTTTTCTTTATTGTAAAAAATTTCATGAAATTTATTTTATTTGTCGGAACTTTACATTTTACATTTAACTATTATTTATATCATATTTGTTTATTTTTTATAAATTCTTGCAGTGCACCCCATTGTCGAGGATGTCGCAGAATTCATTTGTTAAATCGTCCTCATGCATTTGAAATCATACGTTCCAATTCTGATTCTCTCCAGTTGGCAGCATCAGATACCCTCGAAGCTTCTAAATGGCTGCAGTTTTTCCTTGAAAGTGTTTCTTTGGCTGGACATGTAGGCAAATTTAATATTCGTAGGAGACTATATGTTTCAATTATAAGAGTTTATTAGTTAAAGTCTTTAAATGTTACTTGCATGTTTGATTATATATTGTTCTTTTTTTGAAATACATTATATTTATTATATATATGCTGCAGTTTTTCCTTGAAAGCGTTTCTTTGGTTGGACATGTAAGCAAATTTTATTTTCCTAGGAAACTTTAAGTGTTTAAATTATAAGAGTTTATTATCATATTTAATTTTGTATTATTCATTTAAGATATTTTTAAAACTTAATTCGAATATGTAATTATTAATAATAGTAACACTCTAATTGGTTAATTAACTGCACTCTAATTTTCTTATGACTGGTCACATTAAGAGGAAAAATGAATTTATCTAAAATGGTCAAAAAGTTTGTACTTTAGTACTGTCTAACAGTATTTAGTACTGCATAATAGGTATTTACTTTAGATGAAAAATGAATTTATCTAAAATGGTCAAAAAGTTTGTACTTTAGTACTGCCTAACTGTATTTAGTACTGCATTATAGGTATATACTTTAGATAAACTTATTAATTTAGATACACTTATTAACTAAATTTAGATAAACTTATTAATACCCTTGTATATTAATAAGTTTATCTAAATTTAGTTTTGTAAATCATGTATAATTTTAAATAATTTTTATATTAATTTCTATTCCATTTTCTCAGAATACATTCTCTCTAATAAAAGTTAAAGGAAATTATTACCTATTATGTTTGCTTTAATGATTTTTATATATAAAAAATAGTTCTTACTTAAAAATTGACCCTTGTACATTAATTAGTTTATATAAATCTTATTTTGTAAATCATGTATAATTTTAAATAATTTTTAATTTGATTTCTATTCCATTTTCTTAGGAGGCATTCTCTTTTATAATAGTTTTCTCTTTCCTATTATGTTACCTATTACCAATTAATGATTTTTATATATTTAGAGTCTCTCATATTGTATCTGATAATCTAACTCCATTGATTTGGCAATACTTGTTTCTGAAATTTAATATTCACTTGATTTGCAGTAGTCAAATTTAAACAAGCATTATTATTAGCAATAAATTCATAACATTTTCTTCATAAATTTTGAATGTTAATGAAGCATAGTTACCCTTACTATTCCAAAGAATTTGTCTTGAAGACAAAACACACTTAGAAATAATTATTATGAAATTATTATTCATTATCCGTTTGTTGTTTAAATATTCATTTCATACTATTATTTATGATATACCAATCAATGTTTTTAAAATAATGTTTTTTAAATTTTAGTTTATTGATGCTGATAGAAATATCCAAAGACCTGCCTGTATTATCCTGGTGAATGATAAAATAGTTATTACCGTAGAAAATACTCGCAAAGGCAACTTTAATCTTCTTGCAAAAGGAAATATCTGTGATTTAGTAACAGTATTTATTGATCATGTTACTCCTAATTTTATCATGCTGGTAAGTATTATTACTGTTGTTCACAATTTAGCATCGGAACTCAGTTAATTCTTACATTATATTTGCTTATTGCAAATTTTATTAGAAATATGTATGCTGTTCTTATTAATATGCTTTTAAATATCTATAAACCAAATTATTTTAAATTAATAATAATACAAATAAATACAACGTGCAGCCAAACTGTCTCACAGCCCTTAATAGCCTTCAGAAAAATAACATTTTCCTCCTGCATAGTATCTTATTTTATTATTAACCGACGTTGAACAGCTGACTTAATTCAAGTTAACGACTATCGATGTTCAACTCCGTAGACTTGTAATTTTGAACCCAACCCAGGAGACCAGAAAATTCTTTACGTTAGCATTAGGACAAACTAGCCTTTGCGGAGTACTTTTTGATGGAATAATTAAATTGCCAAAAATATAAATTAAATTGCCCATTGGAAACTAATATTCATTATTCTATAAGTTATGTGGTTAATAAGTTTTGTATATTGTGATCCTAGGAGAATTTATGAATCATAAATTTGATTGCTAACTAGTTAGTAAATTTCTTAACTATATATTTGTTTCTAAGCATATTAGTTTAGAGTAAATAAATAATTATATATTAGTTTTAATTATTATAAATAAATTATAAAACATAGAAATTTTGTTAAAAACTTAAGATAATATGTTGGTACTTTAATATACATATTTATTTATAGTTATTGAGGTGTAATAAGCTTTTTAAGTCGAATTTTTCTGTGTGCATCCCCTCTTCAGGTAAATAAAGAATTGCGACACTTTAGAAAGCATTTTACTTTCCTTATCCATTTTACAAAGATTAAGGTATCAAAGTTATACTTTACTTTAGATAATTTTGATTATTAAAATTTTATGGTGTTGTTACATTCATATATTTTTTTTTATATGAAGCCATTCTTTAATTGAGCAATAAATGTAATTATTCTCCAGGAATTTGAGATTGCTGAAGCGAGTAAAAGTTGCGGTGAATGGCTTATCTATTTTGAATCTTTGGAAGAGAAAGATACATTTTTGGACGTAATCAATCAAATATGGTCTGATTTACGCCAAGTAAGTTGAACTACTTTTCCTGTTGTTTTTTAAGTAATTATAAATTTCAATAAATTTGAATTATTTAATAATGAAAATTAATTAAATTATTATGTATTTCAAGTTATTTTTACTTCTTCTGCATAATACTTTTATTCATAATTTTAGCATAGTGTTATATTTTATTTGAGTCTATTATGCATTTTTTTTTCACTTAAGATATCTTTCCTAGCTTTAAAACTTTTAAAAGAACACATAATATAAAAAATTTTACCTGTTAAAGGTTAACATTTCCCTAATTAATAGAAAATCAATTTTTTGTACACTTTACAGAGTTTAGTAATAAATAAGGAATATAAATTTCCAAAAAATTATAGTTGAAGTAGAGTATATGGAACTCTGCCGAGTCCACACTACTTAGATAATTGTGGGAAAAAATTTCCCCTAAACATGTAAAGAATATGCTTTACTAGAAAGTTTAGCCCCTTTTAGCAATCCCTACAATTCCTTTGCAGTCATATTTTTTACAATAAACAGATTGTTGTATCAAAATTTGTTAAATTAAAAGACCTTAAGCTTTTTATTGATTTATTTTCACAAATTTAGTTGCTGATTCTATTGGGATAAAAATGTAAACTTTATCATTTTACTTCTTTACGTTTTGGTTATTGTAAAATCTCACTAAATATTTTTTTCAAATGAATTATTCAGCTTTAGTCAAAAAAGTTAAGTCTCAATATTGAATTAATTTAAAAATTCATGGATTTAATTTAAAATTCAAGGATTTAATTGCTTATTTTGACTGAATACAGTTTTACATGAAATTTACAGTAAAAGTAAGCATAACTTGTGTACAATTTAATAATTATAAAACAGCAACTTAAACAAATGTATCACAATAAGATAATATTATAAGATTACTTTAAAATACTAAAGAAACAATACCTTTAAGATATTTAGTTTTGAATAGTTATCAAAGTGTTAAGTCTTTTGGCTCTTAATAATAATCAAAATAAAAAGGTTATATTAACAGATAATAATATTAAGAAGGGATGATAAATAAATATTACTGGTAAAGTCTAGAAAATTAGGAATAAATAAATTAACATATAAATGCCATTTTACTTTTTTTTATTTTATGCTATTGTCAATCAAAGATATTGTAAACTTTTTTATTATTAAGAATTAAATTATATCATGTGATTTTTCTGTTCAATAAAATATAAAATGTTAAGATGACAATTATCTTTTTAAAGATGATAGATACATATTTTTTAATGGATTTTTTTAGCTAAAACAATTATTTATGAAGAAAAACATTGAAAATGTTCTGAATATTTCTTTTTCTCTTAACTTTTTTTTAATTCAAACTACTTAATCTTTTTTTTAATGTAAAAAAGATGTGATTAAAACTAGTTGTTTTTTATTGAATGACATGAAGCAAAATGATAAGCCATATTTTCAAATAGTGTAAGAGATTTTTTAAATAAAAAAGCACTTCAATTTTCATATGGCGGCTTAAATTCTGTATTGTGCCGCTATCAAATCGAGATTCTGGAAATTTGCAAAGTACATGTAAAGATTTGTAACAGCATGCCAACTTAGTGATTGGAAGTGAACTTTGTTAAATGCTGGTTATCAAAAAGATACAAGAATAGTTATCAAACTAGAAATATGATACTTCATAATAATTGAGAACATATGGTTTTTTAAAATATTGACTGTAGGGCAATTAAAAGAGAGGTTTGCTAAGTAAAGTGCTTAGGATTGATAGTTATAATGAAAATTCAGATTGGTCACCTAAAACATTCTTCTATAAATCATCTTAAATATAAATAAATATTTTGTTTTATTAATTTTTCTTAATTTGTTAACAAAATGTACTTGCTTCAGCAGTATATGTTTTGAAGGTCCGATGACACTGGGAAGATTTGCCTAGCCATCGTGCAAGAACGACTTGCAAAATTTTTAAACGCTCCAGTTGTACAGTTGGTGAAAATGTTGCTCACATTGATGATTAAGAGCTGGGGATCATGAATTTGATCATTCCATTGATCAAATAAACAAAGATGATTGTGCTCCGGAAAAATCCGGATTTTTCGCTGACCGCGATCCGGAAGTTTCCGGAAATCCAAGGTCCAGAAGTTTCAAAAATCACTGATCACATTTATATATAAAAATTCTTGTATATTTTATTTAAAAATATTAGAACTAGAATTTATGCTTGACATCTCTTTCATTTGTAAATATTTTTTCTGGTAGAATAATAAATGTGATCACAAATAAAAGTAAACATAATTATTCATTTAAACTATTCTGGAAAATATGAATGATTTAAATTTATTAAGACATTAATTTTTTGAAATGCATCGTTAATGATTTTACTCAAGAAATTTTCATGATTTGAGTTAGGCTCACAATCACTCCTGAATAAATGCAATGTATACGCAACAAGATCTACATTGAATCTGTCATGATTGAAAGTCCTCTCCTTGGTTGTGGTGTGCAAGTTTGGAGGGAGAGGTACCAGTTCAGGTGTTATCCGCATCATTTGACTGTGGTCAAAATAATGTGGCATTGAAAGATAGAGCCCTGAAAAATCGAATTAGTACTTGGTAATGGTTGAGTGATGCATGATGTAAGAAAAGAATAAACACTCGACTGTTGTGATTTTTACAGTACCTAATTAGAGACATGTACCCCTTAGAAAAAGTATGCCTTATAACACAAGTCCTTTAAATGAATTGGGTTTTAATCTTCTCGAATGTATAAATCTTAATTTTAATATCAAACTTTTATAGCTTCTTTTTCATTTGCTTACAGGTCCCTCTCAGTATTGAACCCCTTAAAGACTTATATTTATTGAAACGATATCGCTTAGTAGCAGAGGAGTTGAGCATTGAAAAGTTAGCACTTCAAGACTTTTGTGCAGATGAGCAGTAGAAAAGCCTTCTTAGATAACTTGCTAGCATAATCAATTAACCAAAGATCGTGTGATACGTTCAAGCTTCAAAACACTTTTTCGGTGCACTCATCTACGAGCGCTTCATTCATCAATCTCAGTAGGGATTTATAGGCATTATTCAAAGTTTATTTATACCTATCTATTGCATGGGATTGGCAACTTTTATGATATCTTTTACTTAATGGTATGATCCATTTCTTCAAATATGATTATTACTTCATGAAATGTTTAAATGATTGCTTACAAATTATTTTATAAATGATAATCATTTAAGAATAAGGTAAAACAAGACTATTTAAACAAATATTTATAATTATGCTAAAAAAATATTACTTAAATGAGCATTACAACTATTTAAATAATTTACTTTTACTAAAATATGTAATAATATAAAAATATTTTTAAATTAAAAGATCTTTAATTTCGATTGTTTATAAAAAGTAGAAATATGTATTTTGAAAGTTACATTTGCTTAGAAATAATATTTTTCAAAGTCTTTAGGTTAAGTTTCAATGAAGCATTAGTCACTGTTGGGCTAGCAAAAGAGTCAGGAGTCATATTCAAACATAATAAGTACAAGTCTAAAGTTCTGATTTTTTATATACCTTATTATGTTTATGATTTGAACTAAGAAAGTTGCATAATATTATGTTATTTTATGTTGACTTTTCTAATTTGTCCTAGAAAAAGATAACCCTGATGGGTTTATAATATATATAAATGTAAAATCTGTCTCTGTCTGTATGTATGATCATTAATAACTGGAGAACAGGAGCACTATTTTAGATTGTTTTTTTTATTTATTTATTTTAGCATTTTTTAAATTTTTTAGAGGTGGTCTATAAACAATCACCTCTTTCCAGCATTATGTTGTACAGGATAAGTATCAAAAATATGAAATTTTATTGATAAAAAAAGTCTTTGATTAGAAAAAATAAAATTATATATTGAAACCTGCACTGTCAAGGAAGCCGCATTTTTGCAAAATATTTAAAAGATATAAGCAGACAAAACTACTAGAAACAAATATGCAGTCTAAGATTACACAAGATTAAACAAATATATTTCACTGTCAGTTATAATATTAAATATAAATGTACCTATTATTCATCCATACGGCGTTTCAATTCCAAGACTCTTAAACTTATTAAATTCTAATACTAAAGCATTTTAATGCCAACTATTAATAATAATAATTAGTTGTTCACAAATTTTTTACTTTTCCACAAATTTTTTACTTTTTAATTAATTAGAAATGGTTTTGTTTTTATGGTTACCGAGGCCGGTACCTTCTGAAGAGATTGGCTTCGGTCGTCATATTTTTATCTTTATTTCCTTCGTTTCCTTTATCAGACAAAATTAACGGATTTTATCAGTAGTAATTAAACTTAAGAATGCATGTGGCAATGTATGTTTTACATTACTTTTATTATAAATGCAGCTATAATTTTATACATAAATGTAGCTTTTTTTTTAGTTCAAAATGCGTAACACTAGATGTTTTGCTCTATTCTTGCTTTCCATGCAGATTTCTTTTATGGTTAAAATTTATGAAATAAATAGTAGATACTAGTTTACAAGATAAAGGTGTATCAATTGCTATTTTAATTATGTCTAGTGTTTATGAATTTAAAACCTGTTTTGTGTTGTTCAAGTGTATCAAAAGGTGAATTTCTGTTTAACGAATTTTCCATACTACGAACTTATTATCAAGATTAAGCGACTTCGTTAAATAGCGGTCCGACTGCATTGGCACCAATGTAGAAATTAGATGAATTGGGAAAATATCGCAATATATTTTTGCAATATTAAAGTTTGTATTCATTAGTCATGGTTGTTAAGGTTTGTGTGGGTGATAACTGAAAAAAGCAATTGCCAACACTTAGTCATTATAACCAATAAGTAAAAGATGAGAAGTTGGGTTCCAACAGCAGATATCTGCCTCAAGCGTGCATTAATTATACTAGATTTGAGTACAAGCATTTAAGAATTAGATCAGTTTAAGTCTCAACTCCTGGGTCTCAATCTAAAGAAAAGTTTTTAAAAGCAAAATTCTTTCGTTAAGGCTTAAAGTTAAATGAAACTGGTTGGAAAGCTAAAGTCCATTTTAATTACTAATTAAACATGTCGAGTAAATATTAAGGCCAATTTGAAATCATTATTTACTTGGTTATGCTGTCTTTTCTTAAATAGCACACGATTAAATCTAAATTATTTTTTTAAAGTTTCTTTTTTGCCTTAAAATGTATTGTTTATGTTCTAGATCCATGTATTCTATTAACTTAAAGTAGTTTATTACCATTAACATTCATTTTATTTTGGGGAGAAAAAAAAACCTTTCAAATAAAATTCATTGGCTTGCACAATTAATAGCAAATAAGTGTACAGTTTAGTTTTGACAAGGTTGCTAATTTGATTTATTATTCATCAACAGCACCATTAAGATAATTATCATATTTGATTTTTTTAATGTTAATATATCTCATACTAAACATTTTAATTACAAATTCATCACGTTACCATGCAAACATGTAAAAGACAAAAATTAAATAAATTTACTCAAGCTTGAACATTATGAGCTTATTATACTTACATGCTGTTTTGTTTTTAGACTGTATGATTTTAAATTTTGAAATACTTGAAATTCGGCTTGTTTAAAAATGTGAACCAACTGGTCACTGGAAGCAGCTAATTTAATAATAAAATGGTGCCTCACTATTGCTTTTTCCTGCAGTAAAATAGTATATATATACACACATATATATATACATTCTCGTTTTAAATTTTTTTGTTATCATAAAAGTTGCTAATTTCGGTTATTTATAGAAGGTAAATTGTTTTTAATGTTTATTTTATATTTAAAAAGCGGTTTATTTAATAAAAAATCTTATTTCACCTTCCGAGTTATTACTTATTGTATATTGTCGTAAATAAGTATTTTCTTGTATGAAATTTTTTCCATTGTAATACAATTTGAAAAAAAAATGTGTTTTCTAGTATTATTTATGAATCTTATTTTAGTTTTCATCAGAGTGCCTTTGTAAAAGCATGTAAACGAAATACAACAATATGCTAAATATAATCCAAAATGAATAATGCTAAAAATGAGCTATATTGCATATTTAAATGTAGCAGCTTTGTGTAGCAAATCTGGAATTGTGTATACCCTGGATAAAGTTGATGTGACCAAAATTCAGTGTACTGCTTTTAAAAAATTAATCATTATACATTTTAACTGTTAAATGAACATTTATTTTATGGTGCACAGGCAGCTCCTTTGTTATATTATGCATTTTTTATGTAATATTAAAAAAATTTGTTTGTATTAGGAAGTTAAAGCACTAAAGAGTTTGATGTGCGTTTTAATGACTTTTATAAGTAATTTTTTTTTGTTTATATTACTAGTGTGATAGTCAACGCATTATAAATCAAAATATATAGGTGATATATTATTGTTACTTCATTCCCCTATTTTGGGAATTTTTTAAATGTATGCACTGTTAAATATGATTTTTTTTTACTTAATACCTTTATTTTTTTCAACAGTTTTACCAAGTTATAAAGATAAACACATTTCAATGTTTCAAAAGATGAACATTTTATTCACAAAAAAGAACTTTATTACAAATATTTTATGCATGAGGCCAGTTCCAAAAAGTTTAATTGCACATTAATGATTATTACAAAGGTAAACAACTGAAATAGGAGTGTGAGATTATTCCTTTTGTTTTTAAACAAATTAGCTGAAACGAGAAGAAGAATGTTTTTCAGATAATTAATGAATTTTAAAAACAGTTAACAAAAAAGATTCAGCATTTAGTTTCAACAGCCTTTAAGGTAGTTTACTTTTCCAGGTTAATGTGATTTTGCTGTCCGTAAGGTACCATAGTGATATTCACTGATATTGTTTTAATTTTATTATGTTGCATATCTAATATGGCTTATATTTGTTTCAACTGTGCAAATTCTGGTGTGTGTATCATTAAGCTCAATTGCTTGCTCAAGCTGATTAATTACTTCTTTATTTTACCTGCACCTGAGCAATATTTAAAGATTTACCAAGACAGCTAACTTTCTGTGATTGGATGAGAGTTAAAAGTTACTGAAATGAAATTAAAGAAAATTTTTACTGTAGAATCAACATGGAGTGCAATAATTAAGTAGGAATATTCTGTTAATTCTCAGAATTTTATGTGTATATTCTTTCTTTTTTTTTCTTTTTTTTTTCAAAATTAATCTTAACTCCTCAAAATAATTATATTATACACCCGTACCGAATTGCATTATATAAATTGTTAAAAAAAAAAAAACTTATATTTTGGGGAATTATTAACTTTTAAAAATTATAGTTTTTTGTGATTGGCACTTTTATCAAGTTATTTAACCTTTCCAGCTTTGAGCACCTGGGTAAAATTGTTCAGAAATTTCCCTGCTATGCACTACTCTAATATTGAATAACATGGGTGAAACCATTTTTTTTGACCCAAGAAAGCTTGCAGCTAAAAATTCGGAAAAATCGAACTAATGCCAGAGGGTTGGGATAATATACGCCACTTAAATGATTTTTAGGAAAACTTTAGTTTTCTTACTAAGGTGTTATTTCCATCAGAAATGTTTGCAAGTGATCTAAAAATAAAGTTATATTTTAACATTTAAAGAGCTGAATTAGTTCATCTATAATTTATGCAATTTTGTATAATTTATGCATTCATGACATGTCTTTAAGTTGGTCAAAAAATAAAAATATGGCTCAATACAGTTAACAAGTTTAGGAAGCAAGATTTGAGAGAAACTTCGCCAAATGTGATAACTGATTTGGCTATTGTTCTCTTTTGAAACTTTATTCTGGCCTTTTCTGAAGCTGCTCCTTCTAATTCTCTATAGATATAGATGTTCCAGTTTGCTTATAAAGTTCCCAACTGATAAGCCTATCTGATAAATGTGCTCTTTCTTGTTTCCATAACAACTTCTAACTATCAGTCTTGACCTATTCTTGTGTTTAATGGACGGCAAATTCACTTGTCTTGCCTTAATCAATTTTTTTACTAGATGTTAAGTAATATATTCATAGTTTTTATCTTAATGTATTCATTTAAAATTTTCACAAATTACAGATCCATCAAACAAATTAACCATAAAACTTTTACTGTTA